CCCCTCACCCATACCATACCACAACAATGTTCTTGGCCACCTGTGGGTGCAATGGTCCTGGTCAACAGGCTGTCCACTGAGCAAAGCGGTCTCTGCTCAACAGTTTAAGATTGTCCAATTTGGTTCTGTTCTCAGGGACCTGGCCCCTCTACTAGGGTCTGTAGACCCAAAAAAACCTGTCTGACTCAGTCTCTTCCTAGCCAGCTATCAACAGCTGGCAGTAGGTGGCTGTAGAACCTCACTGCTGCTTAACGTAGGCTACATGCAATAATGTCCAGACTCACTAGCTGCTGCAGCAGCCTTGGGGCTTCTAGGGGCTCATGGTAGAAACCCCCATGCAGCACGGGGCAGTGGGGATCGCCTCCCACCTAGCAGGAGCCAACAAGTCAAGGCTTTTTCTTTTTAAAGACCTGGGAGCTGGGGCAGGTGGAGCAGCCATGGCGGGGGGAGCGTTGAGAGAGTGGGCAAGTGTCAGGGGCTCATGGCAGAGCCCCCCATGTTGCATGGGGCAGTGGGGGGCAGCAGGGATTGTCCCCCACCTGGTAGCATCTGGTGAGTGTGGGGTGCTTTTTTTGGTTTTTTTAAGAGCCAGTAGCTGGGAGAGTGGGCCGGGGCAGCTATTGAGAGTGGGCGGGGGATGGAGCCAATTCAGAGATTCAGCTGATTCTGTGGTGGCCAAATCTACGAATCAGATTCGGCCAAATTGATTCGGGACAGTGATTCGAATCATCGAATGGAATCACTGTCCCTCGAATTGGCCGAATCCGAATATGAAGTGAATACTAGCCACATCGCATAGGCCTGGCTTGTATGTTTGAGAATCATATGGCTGAATATTGAAATGCCTGTAAATAATTAGAACAGCAACATTTAAATTATAGATTTCATAGATTTCATAGACATTAGGGCTGGAAGGGACCTTGGAAGATCATCAAGTCCAGCCCCCTGCCCCAGGGGCAGGAAGTAATCTATGGTCACAGGATACTAGCAACATAAACATCCAATTACTTCTTAAAGGAATCCAGAGTAGGTGCTTGTACCATCTCTGGCAGCAGTCTGTTCCAGGTTTGGGGGCCTCGGACTGTAAAGAAGTTCTTCCTTATGTCCAGCCTGAAATGGTCTTGGAGAAGTTTGTAACCATTTGACCTTGTCATCCCATGGGGCACTCTGGTGAACAGGCGTTCCCCCAGATCCTGATGTACACCCCTTATATACTTATAGGCAGCCACCAGGTCCCCCTAGAGCCTGCACTTTTCCAAGCTCAAGAGTCCTGTGGCTCTCAGCCTCTCATCATAAGGCCTGGTTTCCTGCCCTCTGATCATGAGCATGGCTCTCCTCTGGACTCTCTCAAGCTTCTCCACATCTTTTTTAAATTGTGGAGCCCAGAATTGGATACAGTCCTCCAGCTGTAGCCTCACCAAGGCAGAGTACAGCGGGAGGATGACATCCTGGGATTTGCTAGAGAAGCATCTAATGATGCAAGCCAGAGTTTGCTTGCTTTGCTGGCTGCAACATCACATTGATGGCTCATATTCATCTTGTGGTCAGTCATGACCCCCCCAAGTCCCTTTCGGCCATGGTGCTAGCAAGCATAGCACTGCCAAGCCTATAAGCATGCTGCAGGTTTTTCTTCCCAAGGTAGAGTACCTTGCATTTGTCGGAGTTGAAGGCCATCAGGTTTTCGTCTGCCCATTTTTCAAGCCTGTCAAGGTCGGCCTGGATCGCCATCCTGTCCTTGGGTGTGGACACTTTACCCCAAATTTTGGTGTCATCAGCAAACTTAGCCAGTCCACTTCTGACACCAATGTCCACATCATTAATGAAGATGTTGAAAAGGATAGGCCCAAGGATGGAGTCTTGGGGGACCCCACTGGTCACGGCGCACCACAATGATTGACTTCCATCAACTACCACTCTCTGGGTCCGACCTTAAAGCTAATTCCCCAGCTAGCAGACTATGATCTAGCCAAGAACACAGTTGGCTAGTTTTTCTATAAGACGATCATGGGATAACAGATCAAAAGCTTTTTTAAAGTCAAGATATATGACATCAATCTCTTCTCCCTTGTCCAAGTGATATGTCACCTGGTCATAGAAGGAGATGAGATTGGTCAGGCAAGACCTACCCACAATAAAACCCATGCTGGCTATCCCTCAAGAGGTTGCCTTCAGCTAGTTTGTCAAGAATGGTCTCTTTGATGATTTTCTCCAAGATCTTCCTGGGGATGGAGGTCAGGCTGATGGGCCTGCATTCTCCAGATATACTTTCCTCCCTTTCTTCAAGATAGGCACCACATTGGCCTTCTTCCAATCCTTGGGCACTTTGCCTGAGCGCCATGAGTTCTCAAAGATCCGTGCCAGTGGCCAAGCTATGATGCTTGCCAGATCCTTAAGTACCCTGGGGTGTAAGCTGTCTGGGCCAGCTCACTTGAAGGTGTCCAGCCTCTCAAGGTGTTCCTTCACATGGTCAACATTGATGAAGAGTAGTAGTTCTGCCTCGCCCTGGCCATCCCACCCTGTACTCAGCAGGGCCATCCCTTGAGGCTGGTGAAAAACCAATGCAAAATACCTGTTGAGCAGGTTGGCTTTTTCCTGGGCATTGGTTGTCAGTTGACCCATATGGTTTATCAGGGGTCCAATGTTACCCTTGCTTTTCCTCTGGCTCCCCACATATCTAAAAAAGGACTTTTTATTGTCCTTGATATGTGTAGCCTGTTGGAGTTCAATTGCAGCCTTGGCTTTCCTGGTTTGCTCCCTACAGGTCTGGACCAGTGCAGAGTACTGGATCCAGCCGTCCATCCTTTACAAGCCTTTCTTTTTAGATGCACGAAGTCCACTAGTTTCCTGCGGAGCCAAGAGGGCTGCTGCACCCTTTTGCTGCCTTTCCTCTGAGACAAAATAGACATTGCTTGTGCTTTCAGGATCGCTCCCTTGAAGAGCAACCACTTGTCCTGAATTCCCCTGTCCTTTGGGTCATAGTCCCGGATCCAGCCGTCCATCCTTTACAAGCCTTTCTTTTTAGATGCACGAAGTCCACTAGTTTCCTGCGGAGCCAAGAGGGCTGCTGCACCCTTTTGCTGCCTTTCCTCTGAGACAAAATAGACATTGCTTGTGCTTTCAGGATCGCTCCCTTGAAGAGCAACCACTTGTCCTGAATTCCCCTGTCCTTTGGGTCATAGTCCCTTAGGGCTTTGCCAACAAGCCACCTGAGCTTGTCAAAGTCAGCTTTCCTGAAGTCAAGAACTTCTGCTTTGCTGACTGACTTGCCTGCTTTACGGTGGATGGTGAAGGTGATCGGCTCATGGTTGTTGTCTCCCAGCTTCCCTTTGATTGTTAGGTCACTGATTAAGTCATCCCCCATTGCCAGTACCAGGTCAAGAAGTGCTTTGCCTCTCATCAGTCCATAGACTTCTTGAGTCAGATAGAGCTCATCCACACACATGAGGAAGCTTTGTAAATGTTTGGATGTGGCTGAGTGCTCTTCCCACGAGATGTCAGGGTAGTTGAAATCTCCCATGACAACCATGCACCAGGAACATGCAGTCTCAGCTTGTTCCCTGGCAAATTCCTGGTCAAGCTCTTGATCCTGGCTAGGAAGTCTGTAGTAGACCCCCACCATTGTATCCCCTGTGCCTTGTTCACCATGGATTTTGATCCATAGAGTCTCCAATCGTCCCGCCTGGATGCCAATGTCAGCTTGCAGGGAAGCATAGCTTTCTTTGACAGAGAGCTACCCCCCCACCCCTTTTGTCCACATGATCTCTCCTGTACAACGTATAGCCATCTATACCTGTAGCCCAGTGATAGGTGGAGTCCCACCAGGTCTCTGTTATCCCTATGAGATCATAATCCTTTCAGCTTAGCAGGAGGACCAGTTCCTCCTGTTTGTTCCCCAGGCTCCTGGCATTGGTGTATAGGCACCTAAGTGTCCCATTCGGGGCCCCTGCCTTTCTTACAGATCGCTCTGGGGCTGGGGTAGGGGTGGGTTCCCTTGAGTGCCTCAGCCTGCTGGATTTACAAAAACTGCCCAGTGGACTTGCAGTGGTGGTACTCCCCCCGTCCCCCAGTGGGCTTAGTTTAAAGCCTGCTCGGGCAGGTCAGCAAGTCTATCTGAAAAAAACCTCTTCCCCAGTGGAGTGAGGTGAAGACCGTCTCTTCCCAGCAGCCCACTGCCTCCCTCACTAAAGAGCAGACTGTGATTGTAGAAGCCGAAGCCTTCATGAAGACACCAGCACTGCAGTCTCGGGTTGACTACCTCAACCTGTCTCTCCCTCCTGAGCCCATGACCCACAACTGGGAGGAGCAAGGAAAAGACCACCTTTACCTCCAACCCCTTAAGCCACACTCCCAGAACCCTGTAGTCTCTCATGACCCAGCTGGGGTTGCTCCGAGCCATGTCATTCATGCCCACATGGATGAGGAGCATAGGGTAGTGGTCGGAGGGGTGGAGAATCTTTGGAATCCTCTCGGCTATGTCCTGGATGTGGACCCCCAGGAAGTAGCAGACCTCCTGGGCTATGGGTTCAAGGAGACAGATTGCCCCCTCAGTCCCCATCAGGAGAGTCTCCCATGATGAGCACTTTGCATTTTGTCTTAGGGAGAGTAGGAGTGGCTGTTCCTCCCTTGCCTGCAGGAGCTGGCATCTCCGCAGGCTCTACTGGGGCTGCAAGAGGTTGATACCTGTTGCAAAGCCCCAGAGGGGAGGGGACCTTGCTGCTGCGGGCCTTGGGGCCCTTGACCACCTTGGTCCAACCCCCTGGCTGGACAGTATGGGAGATTCCTGAGTTCTCCCTTGCCCTGGAGGGTGACCTTCGTCTACCCTCCACCTCCAGGGGGTGAAGGGCCTGGCAGTAGGAGTCGATCTCCTGCTCGCCATCCCTGATGGCTTGCAGTCTCTGGACTGCAGCCTGGAGCTCCTCAATCTGATGCCCCAGAGACTCCAAAGTGGAGCAAACCCTGCAAGGGGAGGTGGCCATGCTCCCAGTCCCATGAGCCTGGAAACGTGCCAGGCAGCCCCCACAGCTGAAAGCCAAAGGCTCCATCTGTGTGGAGCCCAGAACCATGGGTTCCGTCTAGGTGGAGGCCACTGAGGTGCCAGAGGGGGAGGCCGCACACTCCGAGGGGACCCTCAGTGTGCAGCGTGTGCCCATCCACATCATGCCGCTGGGAGGCCAGCTGCTGATGGGACTGCCTTCCCTAGGGCTCACTGGCAGGGCCTTGGGTGTTCCCACTCACCTTTCTATACAAGCTCCCACACTAATTCACACACCTGGCAGACAAGCATGCTTGTTTGCAAGGCTTGTTCACATGGCTCCAGTTGCTTGGCTCCCTGGGGGGCTGGGCAAAGTAGGAGCCGTGGCGGGGCAAGACCCTCCTTGGCTCCTCTCAGCTGCCTCCCCACAGCTGAGCTGGGCTAGTCCTCTCCCACCACAGGCTCCATTTACTTCTGGCTGTGTTGGGGGTCGGCGGGGGTGCTCCACAGCTGTTGGGGGTTGGTGGTTGGGGGTCGGTGGGGGTAATGTGTGTGTCTTTTTTCTTAGGTTCCAATTCATGGCAACAAAAGATCAGTCCTTCTTTAAAAAAAAATACTGTTGCCTGTAACTGTAATCAATGAATTCTAAAATGAAAATAGTGAAAAAATATTCTTGACAAATAATGAAGTTTTATCTTTTTCTTTTTTTTTTTTTAGAATGTGCCTCTCTCCAAAATGTAATTAAGGGTTTCAGACAAACTGTTGAAAACCAGTGCAACTTGAGAGGTAAACAAAATATTTTTGTAAAGTATACGGCATTGTGGTTTGGCACAAATTTCTATCTATTCCATAAACATAAAAGATCTTTATTTTATATTTAATGGTTCTGTTAGGAGAGAGCGTTTGTTATTTACTCACCAGTCGAAAAGCACAATCAAATGAAGTTTAAAACATATGAAAAGAATCAAACCTCTGCTCACTTGCATTGCATACATGTACGATGAAGGTCTATTTCCTGTAACCCTATTTATGCACCAGCACAGAAGTATAACTGGTAAGATGTTCATGCCAGGCACAAACCCTAGTACCACAGTCCTGTCATCAGCCTCATGCCTCCCCTCAATGAAACATACTAATGCTGTGGGAGGGAGGAGGTGCTGGCAGTGTCAGCAGCCAGGGTGTTAATACAGGACTCCCTGCAAACAAATCCTTGAGTTACCTCATTCCCTCCCCAGGTGCCGCCATTACTCCTGCCCCTTCCCCAAGTTCCATCACTACTTCTGTGCCCTCCCAGTGCCACCCTAACTCCTGTCATTGGCATGCCATTTAACTCAGTGCCTGGGGCTTGTACCCCGATTGCCTCCCTGTTTGTTATGCTCCTGCACTAACAACACTTTGGCTAGGTACAGCCATTTGGGGAGGTTAAATCAGATTCAGAATGGCCACCCAATTTAAACTTAACTTGTCCCAGTGCTGACCTTACACTTACAGACCCAGTCTCAGTGACAGCAACCAGTCTAAACCTGTAACTGTACAGAAGTTCCATTCACACAAACTGGTCTAAAAATTGCAGAACCCATTTTAAGATAAATTTGGATCTATGTAGTATCACACTTATTCTATTTAGGTCAAACTGGTGCATGGAACTTCTGTACACTTCCCCTGGGAAAACCCAGCCACTGGCCCCAGTCCCAGGGCTGCTGTTTTCACACACACCCGACCCCACTCAACTATCTTTTGCCCCACCTAGCTCCTTGTTCCCCACCAACCAGCCAGCCCTCTCAATCCCCATCCTACAAGCCACTTGGCGTGCAGCCGCTTTTATTAGCATTCATTGCTGCCAGACCCAAGCAGGTAAATCCCAGTGGTGGGTGGTGCATGAGGGATGGGAGTGCAAGTTCACTGTGGGGGACCCCACCCTACCCATGTGTCATGACTGCCTACAACCACCCCAGC